TATATATATATATATACTGCAGGTCAGTGGCGCTCGAGTCTCATAGTTCGTCTTCGGATTCCAATACATATATAGAGTCAGCACTTAGTGTTATGCATATTCCTAATGCCATTATGCCGTGTACTGTGTTACAGTGCTTAGACTCCACGTATAAAATGTATACATGCGCGTATGTATGCGTGTGTAACTTGTTTACAGAAACATAATTATGGATGCAACCATGAAAGTTTGAATGTACGATGGTGCAAGTGTGTAACTGTGTACGTGTTTGACTGCACGCATGTGTATAGAAAATTGTAGTTAATATTTATACTATATACACTAGTTAACAGTATTATTTTAATGAAGTACATTGACAAATAATTTTTGCATGTATGGCAGATCAATGCAGATAGCTTGTATTGAACAAACGGGTCTTATAATATGGTATAACCTCCAAATATTACAACATATGCCATATCTTTAAAAGGAAGAAAGTTAGAGCAACAATAACAAGATTTACGGGTGTTATAAGGGACATAAAAATATTGTGACGCATAAAAAGAAAGGCGTTGAGTTATAAAAAAACATAACCTCAAATTTTGATGTTTTAAATGTACCTTCATGAAATAAAGTTTGAGAATTATGGGAAAAGTTATATTACGTTCAGCACAAGATAACCATGATGCCGAAATGGTTTTTTATGGTCATGCGTGCATATAACTTTCAAATATTAAAAAATACGCTATATTTTTTACAGAAAGCTAGATATAGCAACAACAACAAGCTTAGAGGTTAGCTAAAACAAAAAAAGTATCGCGGCACACAAAAAGAGATGTTGACTTCTATAAGGACCTAACCTTAAATTTCAGTTTTTGAATATTCCTCTAAAAATCAAGGTGGAAAATTTTAGAAAAAATTGTAGCATATTTGCCAAATTATTAAAAGCATGTAAAATATATTTTTTTTTTTTTTATTACTTCACAGTACTCTTACAAATTATTTAAAAAATGCAAAATCGTAGATGAACAGATAAATGGACCAAACATAACTATTTACATGTTTTTGAAGTTCCTACTCCTGTGGTGCGTCACATGTGACGCAACCAGTTCTTTAAATACTCTTATGCTGTATAAATCATGTTTATCTTTCCATAAATCTATTATCAATATTTTTTTCCTTCTAACTTTTTGTTTTTCAACATCCATTACAACTCTTACTCAAAATACATCAGCAACCCCGTCGACCAACTAGTAAAGATGTGTAGCATGTCAGTTTCTACCGATTACACATTTAATATTATGACATGTATTAGTACCGTTGGTAAGCTTCCTACTTGTTGTATGTTTATTTCATGTTTACTTTTTTCCACTTTTTTTTTCTTTGATCTGTGTCATGCTTGATCTGCTCTCTCCGATACTTTAACGTCCCTGACTTTAAAAACATTTTTTTCAGAGATCTCAGTATCTCCTGCTATGGAGATTTTTAGTATTTAATAAATTAGAGGATTCTTCCCATAGCTAATTCAGGGCTTCAAAGTGCGTGCACTTACTGGAATAGATGGATGGCCTCCTTGGAAGCGTCAGTCGAGTGAAGATACACAGTTTCTGTGAAGGATAGGGTGACGGTCCTATCCTTGCGAAATGATCAGGAGACAGCTCCTCAAGAGAGAATAAAGGCTTAGCCCAAATATGATATTTTATCCACTGCGCATTCCTTTCAGTCAGCGTCTGCAAATGCAGGCAAAAGAAGCTTGTAGTCAATCGTAGAACTTGTTTGGTAGCAGTCCAGTTGATGACATCATGTTAGTAATTTCATTGGCTCAGCATTTTTACGGCAAACGCGATGTTGGGTGGGTGCTAATGGCCACGTATATCAATTATTCAAGACGCTTTCTAAATGAGTAGTTGCCTCAAAAGTAATTTGAGTTCTTGATGCTAAGTTTCTTGCCCAACGCCACAGATGTTTCAGCTGATTTGCAGTCAGACACTCTTAACTTAGCTAGGACGTCTCTGATGAAGCTGGTCTGGCTTAGGAAAATTTTTCTATCCATCTGACAGATGTTAATACTTAAACAATAGTTGATGACACCCAGGTCCCCTAATTCAAAGTTACCAGATAGTTTGCCCGTGATCTCTTGAACTGATTTTTCGTCGTTTGATGCAACGGATATGTCGTATACGAAGGTAAGAAGGTAGATGGTGCCACAGCTTCGATCATCTATGTAGACACAAGGGTCTGAGATTATGGGGATAAGTCTCAGCCCTGGAAGCCACTGATCTAGCTTTAAGTGCCCCAGGCATCCGGACTGTCGCAAGCCATACGTAGTTTTCTTAAGTATACACATTTTGTCACCAGATTTTGGATCTTGTAACATGGACAATGCTCTTTTCACGAATCGAGGATCCTTTTTTATCTTGACTATCTTTGTTAGCATTTATGGCTGCAGATCAGGGGTTCTTATAAGTACGGTGGTTTCAATATCTCCGTTCAGATAAGGCGTTGCAACGTAGAATCGAGATACGGTTAAATCACTTTCCATAGACAAGGACAGCAGCAACCGTAGAAACTCTATCGTAGCCACAGGAACAAAGGTATTTGCAAAGTCCACTCTGGGTACTTGAGATGATTCCTAGACCACTTTAGGTACTCTGGCTTTTCTGCAAGCGAGGGATCTAGCTCCAAACTTGTTCCTAAGGACTGTCCTGCATATAAACACCTTGCAGTTGGTAAATCTCTTAACGAGTTTCCAAGTGTCGTTGACTACTAGGCTCTTAGCTTTGAGATAGAGAGCGTTAACTCACTCGGTTTTATCTGACACGATCGCGGTTGCTCCTAGTGGTACTTCTGAGGTGATCATTGCCCTGAAGTCGCGATTTGTAACGAAGTTGTCGTTGGCTTCTTCTTTTTTGTAAAGTATGCGATGTTTGATGTTCTTCTTAAAGGCTCGACGTATGATTTCGCTCTCGGAGCTTACACTTAGAGTTAACTTGGACGTCAAGTTTTGGTCTCTTTAACTTCCTTGTAGATGATGTCCCAAAGGTAGGGCCTATTTAAATAACGTCATTTCACGAAATCCGTGCAAAGGTACGTATCTGTCGTTGACCTTTAGTACCGTTTAATCTCTCTCGGTAACTGGCTTACTTACTGCAGACGAGACCACGACTTCTGGGAAGTTGTTGTCCGCGTTGGACTTGCTTCTTGTTGGCTTTGTTCCCTGAGTAGGGCTCAAAAAAAACTTGATAAATCTCAATGTGATAACTCTCCACTCACTTAGAATTCAGATCTGATACGAACACTGAACTATGGTGTATCAGACAAAGGTGCCCGGTATATTTTCTTTTAGTGGAAGTTTTGTCTTGCAAAAACATGTTAGCGCTAAAGGGCTGCAGGTGCACAAGGTTCAGCCGTTTTACTATCAAAACTTTCTATGACGTTCCTGTATGTATTGCCTTCATTAAACAACGGTTTTGAGTATAATTGGCAGTTGCGATCACCTCTGCCCAGAAGGACAGCGAAAAATTCTTCTTGATTCTTATGCAGTGCTTTTTTTCCACCAAGGTTCAATTCTTACGTTCTGCTACTCAATTCTACTATGTAAGCCTGTGTTCTATGCCATTTTAAGTCAAGATTTCCTTGAACTTGTTGTTTACGTACTCTCCTCCATTATCCAATCAACTAACTTTTATTTTTCCACTTCTCTGAATTCCCGTGACTTCATTTTAGTACTCCAGAAATATTTTGGTAGCTTTGCCTTTGTTTTACATAAAATTTATCTGACATCTGACGTTTGTCGTCCTTAAAGAACTCCACATCAGCCCAATATAATTGAAGTTCCCAATAAAAGGGTAGAAAGGTATCAATATGTTATATTTCATTCCTTTCTCAGGAAAAGTTACCATAGGCGCAAGACGTGAAAATGGACAGTTTTTAAAAAAATAATTATTTAAGCCGCTGATTTTGAAAACGGTTAGTTTGACAGGCA